GCTAGTGTGTTTGATCCGAGGAACAAAATGAAATTTGCTGGTCTTTGCTTTGATATGCTATATGGTAAAGATAGTGCAGAATCAATAGAGCTTAATAAATCAGTAAGTGATGTTTTGGGAAAGCTGTTTGAAGAGTATTCTTCTCAGTCTCAGTCACAATCGGGTGCAACACCAGCTCAGAGTGGACAAGAGTCTCAATGTGATTTAAGCCAAAAAATGGATTTAGACAGTGATCTTGAATATCTTAGGATGGATACTATGTACAACGAGATGGTCAATGAGATAGGATTTCAAGATGCAAGTACTGAGTTGGAGTTATATCTTAAGGAGAAAGTGGAATGTCCAAAGACTAACCAGCTTGGGATACAGTTTGATGTTTTGGGCTGGTGGAGGATCAATACTCCTAAGTATCCTGTTTTGGCCTTAATAGCGAAGGATGTACTTGCTATGCAAGTGTCCTCTGTTGCCTCAGAATCTGCCTTTAGCAACAGTAACCGCATCTTAGACCCATCTAGGAGCTGCTTAACTCACTACATGCTTGAAGTTCTAATGTGCAGTGAGCAGTGGTTCAAGGGTGAAATTCAGTTGAATGAGAAAGGAGTGGTTACCACACAGCAAATGCTTGCTGAAATTGAATTGCAGGATAATCTTGAGAGAGGTAAGTTACTAACTTCTATAATCTGTTCATGATATCCTATTTTCAATTGTGCATTTGAGATATTGAGTACTTTGTATTCTTTTATCTTTTTCAGAGTTTGAGTCAATGCAAGTGAATGTATAAGTCTCTTCTTATCTGCTAAAGTAGACAAATAAAAGGTATGAATAAGTCTTAACTCTTGCCTTATGTTCTGTCTTGATAAACTTCTTACCTTTAGAGCCTTTTGAATCCATCTAAGAAGTGTTGAAGTTGAATCGCCTCTACTCTCTATCTTCTATAGCTTATTTTTTCTTGACTTTTTGTAATCATTTTACATAGGTCTTGGAGTTGGAAGTCTCACTGTTGGAGTGTTGGAGTCTTGGAGTTGGAAGTCTCCATCTGAGAAGTGTTGGAGTCTTGGAGTTGGAAGTCTCCTTGTTTTATCAAGTTTGGAACTTATTTCGTTGAATTGCTTTTCAGGTTTTCAGTCCTTCTCTTTGGAACTTATTTCAGTATGAATATGGATTATGTTGCTTCTTTGCTTGACTTCTGGTTTTATGGTTTGAACTTTGAATTGGAAGTTTGGAACTTTTCTGTTGTTTGGTTTGGTTGTGTTGGAATTGAGATGTTTGGTTTTAAGTTGAGATTTTGACTTTTGAGTGAGTCTGAGATGTTAATTATGTCGGATTTTTTCGGATTTAGAAAGTAGGTTTCGGATTAACAGTGTAAAATCCGAAACCGAAACCGAAACAAATAGGATTCGGTTTCTTATCGGATGTTTTTTAAAATTTGAAAACCGATCCGAATCCGAAAAAATCCGATCCGATCCGATCCGAAAACCAGTCGGATTCAAAACGGTTTATAAACATCCCAATCCGAAACATCCGAACTCCGAATAATCCGAACCGAAAATCCGAACGCCCAGGGCTACCTATACATCTTCTACCGGCGGTCATGTGTCAGTCACACCCTACAAATATTTACATCTTATCATATAAATCTTACGAGCATATTAATTCGTCGTCACACATGCTACACTCAACCAAAATATAAATGGCACATTTCCAAGATTCTCTGTTCCTTACAACATTCTCCAACATTTCTCCTTTCGGACTTTCCCATTTTGGCCTTTTCGTTACACACTCCTTTTGAATATGTTCTTCATTAAAATCTGCAAAACAAGATCAAAAATCATCCATTACAATCCCTTCAGAAAATTTTGTACAGATTAAAATCATGCTAGTAGCATTTAAATCTAAAAAACCATGCCGATTAAAAAAAAAGTAAATACATTTTTCAGAATTGTATAACGCCCATTCTTTACTTATAATTTTTCAGAAAGATATATTAAAATACTTAGGTCTATGTCCAATTTAAACAATCATTTCAGTGGGGGTTTTAACCTACGTTTTCTTATGAAGAAACAGAGCATGATTATAGTGAAAGTTCGAACACAACAAGTAAAATCAATGACTGTTTGCTTTCTTTTTATCAAGACAAAATTTTGAGAGTAATATACTAAAAATCAACGAACCTTCACTAGAACATTAAAAAACAAAACAGAGCCTGAGTTGATTATATCGTGTGAATAAAAAACACAAAGATGTCGGAAACATTGTACTTTAAACAAACAAAACAAAGGAGAAAACAAAAAGGACCAAAGGCGTAGTGTTACTTACCTTGCAGGGTGATGACTCGACCTCTATGCTAGTCGCTAGGAGGAATGGGTAAATCAAAGTTTAGCTTGAGTTGTAGAAGAACATATATCAAAAGAGAGTGTTGGACATTTGAGAATAGAAATTTGAGACTAAAGAGTGTAAGAACCTTTTGATATCTGAATGAAGGATAACAGAGGTGTCTTCCTTCTACTATATATAGAGATTATTTCTAACGGTCAAATAAGTTACCGTTTGGGATGCAAAAAAAAAACAATAATAAACAAATAGAAGTTACCGTTCAGCAATGATCTTTAAACTTTCATAACGGTCAAATAAGTTACCGTTCAAGTGCATAAAAATAAAAGTTACTGTTTGATAACGTTCAAATTTACTAGTTTTCTACAACGTTCCCATTGATGTGACCACAAAGACTGACATATAAGAAACCTTATGCCTATACTATATATATGCATTATATATACTCGTGATTATTCGTGGAAATCTTATTTAACTTGTTGTATTTCCTTTTACAGATAATGACATTCTTTTTTTGTTCAAGTTTACATTGCATGCTAGTTTCTGAATTTTTAATACATTCATCTTGTTATTGCTATATCCCAATCATGACCAGTCCTAGCTATATGAGTTTTGGTGTCTATTTTCATCATTTTATTGTATAGTAATAAATTTCGTATGCAAGGTTATGAACGTTATCTCAATTTTACAGAATCTAGCATGCAATGTAAAATTTCGTATTTGTAAAAAATATTAAGAAGAAAAGATCAATTGTTTTGGTAATTGGTATTAATACGTTTAATATTTTAAACTATATATTGACGTGTTGGTAGACGCTATGTTTAATTTAGTGGATGCAAATCTTTGGTCTGTTGACCACTTTTTTTTATATATATATATCCATACAACATATTATTATAAGTCTAAAACATTATCACTCACTCACTTTTAATTTTGGGATGTTCTGTTGTTTAATGGGTCCTGAGATTGCTATAAATAGACAAAGCATATGTATGGTTGTCTGAACATGAATTTAAAACATCTAACAAAATGGTGTGATGCTGTTTTTGGTAAACCAAATTCCCTCTCATATATATAGAGATGATAAATTCAAAGGTATAAATAAATTGTTGGAAAAGAAACAAATGCAAACGAAACAATCAGGATCATGAAAAAGTTTTACTGTAGTCCCGATTGATTTGAAGTCTAAAAACAAAATCGCAATTTTTGTATATTAGGATCATCATATATATAAGCCAACGTACGTTGAGACTTGAGAAGGACGTGAAACTGGCCGTTCGTTTTAAGCAAGAGACACCTAGCTAATATATATCAATTATAACATCAATTGCTTTATTTAATTTAAATCCCAACATTAAAGAGTATTTTCTTGTTTTAAAATACAACGGTTTCTAGTACTAAAACATATCTTGGAAGTAATTTTCATTCGATAATATATATACAGGTCTGATTATATAAACTATGCTTAGTTAACTGATGAACTGAGGTTTAAAACTTTGAATATACAGAAAGTGTGGAACCCGACGGAATTATCTAATTTGCAACCATAATTGTCCCGCTTATTAATTATACAAATGAACCAACCCTGAACCAGCCATGGGAGTGAACGGAATCTAAAAATATTTGACCAGTGCTTTTTTTGTTTTGTTTAAAAAAAAAAAAAAAATCTCAACGGTAACTTATATTATATGATATCCAACTAGATCATATATTCCTTACAAAAATCATATTTTAATTATGATACGTTTTCGTGGTGACTTAATCAACTGTTCTGAGACATGCCTTAGTTAATTACCATTTTACCAACTATACAACATGTTATCTAGCTCGTAATATGAAATATGAATGTGATAATATTAAAAATCAAACATACAATCATACACAGTACACACAGACAAACATGGATAGAGAGACAATCATATTCCATTCATACGTGTAACAAACTAACAATGCGATTAATATTTACATATTCACTCACACTAAACTAATGCTATTTTTACACTTGTGTAGAAATTTGACAAATCAACAAATTCTTTTAGGTGTCCAAATCATTTTCTATCGTATCAAAATTGTGTCAAAGAGTAGAATCATCCCTAATAAGTAATAACATTTTATTCTTACAGAGATACGTGTCAACTGTATACTTTTTTTGTTGTTGTTGTCTTTCTCAATTTACCTTTCAATAATAAAACGTAAAAGTTTAGTTTGTGTTGTTTTCATGTTCCGTGGCCAAAGTGAGCCAAAAAAAGGTAACGTGTTTTGATTAAATTCACTATGTTGACCGGGAAGTATAGTCTCCAACCGGGAAAAAGAAGTCCCTTGCGCTCTCCAACACCACTAAAAATGTTCGCACCAAGTTTTTGAGGTCCGAAAGGGAGAGATATTAATTAGGTTCATGTGGGAGTCTTTGAGGCCTAGCTACACTGTGGATCTTGTCTACTTCTCAGCCGCAATATGGGAATGGGACTGTTCACGCCTCGGGGATGGTTATCCATACGTTACCATAACTTATTATACATTTTATAAACAGTGTGCGTATTGTAGGATACCTTTTATTTTTTTCTTAATTATTGTACGATACCTTATTACGAGAAGTTTGTACCATTTACATGCCACTTGTGATGTTAAACCATATAGTTGGGGAAAAAATTGTATGCATGCTGCATGTTTACAATTAATATTGACAAATATGGATGTTGAAGTTGTGGCCCATGCATGCCATGTGGGTAAAGGCTTTGGTTTTGAATGGTTAGTGCCGCCTTTTTATTTTGCAAAACATTATGATGGCTATGCAAACAGATGCTTCAAAATACGGATAGATTATTCAGTTAATTAATTACATGCAGATTATATAAGTTGTATAAGTTATAGGTTGTTATTCTGTGACTCTATCCGTCTACACCACGTATTAAATTTTATTGATTTATGCTTATAGAGATGATTTTCTAATATTGGTTTGAAATTATTCCATTATTATCAAGAATATCTACCACATAATAATTATAACGTATTTTGTCCAAAAAAAAACAAAATAATTATAACGTATATGAATCGAATCATTGATAGATAAATAATATCAGACAAGAATTGACCCCACGATTGCCAATAAATAACGACCCTTAGCGAGGGTTAAAGCCACAACACAAGATTTTCTCAAAGTCTTAAAAATCATTTAAGAAGTTCAAATACTTATCATCTCCCCTAAAAAAATAACCTCAGAGTGTCGACATGGCTTGCAAAAACAATCTCGTTGTTAAGCAAATCATCGACTTATACGACCAAATCTCAAAGCTCGAGAGCTTACGACCTTCCAAAAATGTCGACACTTTGTTTGGAGAACTCGTGTCCACGTGCTTACCCACGGACACAAACATCGATGTCACAAAGCTGTCCGAAGAAGTCAAAGACATGAGATCTAACCTCATCAAGCTTTGTGGTGAAGCCGAAGGTTATTTAGAGCAACACTTCTCCACAATTTTGGGTTCTTTACCAGAAGACCAAAACCCACTTGATCATTTGCACATCTTTCCTTACTTCAACAACTACCTCAAGCTAGGCAAGCTTGAGTTCGATCTCCTGAGTCAACACTCAAGCCATGTCCCCAGCAAGATCGCCTTCGTGGGTTCTGGTCCTATGCCCCTCACGTCCATCGTCTTGGCCAAGTTTCACCTTCCAAACACGACGTTCCACAACTTCGACATCGACTCACACGCAAACACGCTCGCTTCACGCCTGGTCTCTCGTGATCCGGACCTCTCAAAACGCATGATCTTCCACACAACGGACGTATTAAACGCTACGGAAGGACTTGAGGAATACGACGTAGTGTTCTTGGCGGCTCTTGTTGGGATGGATAAAGAGTCAAAGGTCAAAGCCATCGAGCACTTGGAGAAACACATGGCTCCTGGAGCTGTCCTTATGCTAAGGAGCGCCCATGCTCTTAGAGCTTTCTTATACCCCATCGTCGAATCTTCTGATCTCAAAGGGTTTCAGCTGTTGACCATCTACCATCCAACCGATGACGTGGTTAACTCGGTTGTGATCGCACGCAAGCTAGGTGGTTCGAGCATGACCGGGGTTAATGGTACTCGTGGCTGCATGTTTATGCCTTGTAACTGCTCCAAGGTTCACGCGATTATGAACAACCGTGGTAAGAAGAAGAATATGATCGAGGAGTTCAGTGCAATCGAGTAAACAAAACAATGAACTATAACACATCTCTTTTTGTTAAGATTGTGTTAATGTTTTTTTTTTTTTTTGTCTTATATTAACTGCTCTTTTCATTCTATTCCTTGTGTGTGTTTGTGATATGTGTGCCTACGTTTAAAGTATAAGTTTGTGAATTTTGAGCTCTCTGATCTTCGTCGCGAGTGAAGATGATACAGAACTTGTTGTTTGTTGCTTACTTGTTTATATTATCAATAAAGTTTTTTTTTTCTTTTTTTAACATATCTTGATAATTCACAACCATATATATATTAGTTAATGTCATCATCATATTTTGGTCTTATTTGTGCTGTACGTTAATCGTGACGGAAAGGAAACAAATCATGACTTAAACCATGCTAAACAGACCAAGTAATTAGTTGATATATTTGTACATGAGATTAAGAAGCACATCTAGACCTAATGTTCCATAAATAAATGTTTATGAACAAAACTATGAGAAATCAAGAGTTAGGGAGTGGAACGATAAAAATTAAAAAGTTCCAAATTGAGAAAAGGAAAACGACAAACATCTTACACACGGGGGAAACCGGCAACCGGGGAAAAAGTCCCAAAAAGTCATTACATCACAGACTGACGAATGCACTAAACATGACGAAATTGAAACAGAAAGAACAAACCTCTTACGCAGGTTATCAAGTCATACTAGATCTTTGTACGGTTGAAGATTCAGTGGTTTAGATCCGACGGCTAATCGTAGGCGCTGCTTCTAACAGTTACACATGTCAAAATTTATACACACATACCAAAAATAAAAATGTTAATGAAAAGTTTCCAACTTTGGCACAAATTTCCGCTATTTGTTTTGTTTCCCTCTCATTCTCTGTCTCTCTCATTTCTGGAAACCCTAATTTCGCGAGCAGCTCGAACAGGGTGTGTGTGATCAGCTAATCCAGAATCAGCATTTTCAGGTTTCTTTGTGAAAGTATTAAGCTTTTGTTTGGGGGCTATTGCTTTGTGAAGGAACATCCATTGTTGCTGTTTTTGTAATCCCTGAATCTGCGGTGATGTGGGTTTCTCTGTGCATGCGTGTAATTCGGCTTTGAGGATCTCTGATTCATAGTTAGGTTAGAAAAAGTTGGACTTTTTTGGGTTTACCCAGATCTTCTATAGTTTAGGGATTTCGTTTTGTAATTTGATTAGAAGATCAGATTTGGTTTCCAACCATGGATGGGAATGCTGGTAACTACACTGATAAGACGAGAGTGTTGGATATTAAACCATTGCGTACTCTAAGACCTGTGTTCCCCAGTGGAAATCAAGCTCCGCCCTTTGTGTGTGCGCCTCCTTTTGGACCATTTCCACCTGGCTTCTCATCCTTTTATCCGTTTACTTCTTCTCAAACGAATCAACACACACCAGATCTTAATCAGGCTCAGTATCCACCGCAACATCACCAGCCTCAGAATCCTCATGTATATCAGCATCCGCCAAATGCATCTGTGCCTTCTATGGTTACTCCTCTGAGGTCCTTCAGATCTCCTGATACGTCTAATGGTAACTCGGAACTTGAGGGCTCAACCGTGAAAAGAAAGATCCCTAAAAAACGTCCCATTGCAAATCCGAATTTCGAGAGCGGGATTAGCGTCTCTGATAGAGAGAATGGAAATAGGGAGTTGGTGGTGAGTGTTCTTATGCGGTTTGATGCCTTAAGAAGAAGGTTTTCACAACTGGAGGACGCCAAGGAAGCAGTAAGTGGTATTATCAAACGAGGTGATTTAAAATCAGGATCTACTTGTATGAGCAGAGGAGTCCGGACAAACACCAAGAAAAGACCTGGTATTGTTCCTGGTGTCGAGATTGGGGATATTTTCTTCTTCAGGTTTGAGATGTGTTTGGTGGGTTTACATTCTCCATCAATGGCTGGGATTGACTATTTGGTTGTGAAGGGAGAAACAGAAGAAGAACCTATCGCCACTAGCATTGTGTCATCTGGATATTATGATAATGACGAAGGTAATCCCGATGTTTTGATTTATACTGGGCAAGGTGGTAATGCTGATAAAGATAAGCAGTCATCTGACCAAAAGCTTGAAAGGGGTAATCTTGCCTTGGAGAAGAGCTTGCGTAGAAATAGTCCAGTTAGGGTAATAAGGGGATTGAAAGAGACTTCTCATAATGCTAAGATCTATATTTATGATGGACTCTACGAGATCAAAGAGTCATGGGTAGAGAAAGGAAAATCTGGACACAACACCTTCAAGTATAAATTAGTGAGAGCTCCAGGTCAACCTCCTGCATTTGCTACATGGACTGCAATCCAGAAATGGAAGGGGGGCGTGCCTTCAAGGCAAGGACTCATTCTTCCCGATATCACTTCCGGGGTTGAAAGTATTCCTGTTTCACTTATGAATGAAGTTGATACCGATAATGGGCCTGGTTATTTCACCTACTCCAAAACAGTGAATTACTCAGAGTCGTTTAAGCTAACACAGCCTTCTTTTGGCTGTGATTGTGGCAACTCATGCAAGCCAGGGAACTTGGACTGCCACTGCATAAGGAAAAATGGAGGTGATTTCCCCTACACTGGTAATGGAGTTCTAATTAGCCGCAAGCCTATGATATATGAATGCAGTCCATCTTGCCCATGCCCGACTTGCAAAAACAAGGTGACTCAAATGGGAATAAAAGTGAGGCTGGAAATTTTCAAGACAGAGAATAGAGGATGGGGCTTGCGCTCATGGGATGCTATCCGTGCTGGTTCGTTTATATGTATATATGCAGGTGAGGCCAAAGACAAATCAAAGGTGCAGCAAACTATGGCTGATGATGATTATACTTTTGATACAACCCGTGTCTATAACCCTTTCAAGTGGAACTATGAGCCTGGCTTAGCTGATGAAGATGCTTCTGAGGAGATGTCTGAAGAATCTGAAATCCCACTACCAATGATAATAAGTGCTAAGAATGTTGGGAACGTTTCGCGATTCATGAATCACAGTTGCTCCCCTAATGTTTTCTGGCAGCCAGTTACTTATGAAAATAACAGTCAACTCTTCGTGCATGTCGCCTTCTTTGCCATATCTCACATCCCTCCACTGACTGAGTTAACTTATGACTATGGAGTATCTAGACCAAGCGGGACTCAAAATGGTAATCCTTTATATGGCAAAAAGAAATGCTTTTGTGGGTCAGCGTATTGCCGTGGCTCATTTGGATGATGATGGGAGAATAGTGATCTACGGTGGACACCTGGAGTCGGATGTTTTTGGTTGCAAAAGGTTTGTATGCCCGTCCCATTATTTTTCATCTACTGAATCTGAGTAGTAGTATATGAAATCTCTAAATCGTTTTATTTGGCAGGATGCTGAGTTCTGATCGGTGGAATCAAGTCCTTTTGGTGGCAACGAAAGTTTATGTCTCTTTGATCTTCACTTCAACAGCATAGGATGCAAGCTGTGAAGTAAATTTTCCCTGCAAAACACCTTGTCTATTTCTCAGATTGTGGAAAATGTGCACCTTTTTCTCATGTTATATGTAATCTTATTAGTTTAGTGTTCAGATCGGTTGTAGGGCAACTCTCCGAAACTCGTAGCCTGCTTTGATTGAATAGTTGATGAATGTCATAAAAGGTTACAAGGCAATTTTTATCTCGGTTTCTTATTGGTTCTTGTCAGCCAAAAAAGAAGAAAAGAAATGAAAGACAAAAACGCAACAACTTTATCAGAAACTGAAGTGGAAATTTTTTTAATCAAATTTTTTTGGACGTTCTCTTTACAAAGGAAAATTTGTGCGTATGTTACAACAAAATGAGAAAAATACAGCCGAGAGATTTTACGTAATTTCCCTTACACTACAAACCCAACAAGCTCTCTCTCTGCATGAAACAGTAAGCAACCAAGGGGGGAAAAATTGGAACATATAAATTATATTTACTTTCGCTGAAGGGTGTAAAGAATTTTGACTTGAGACTTGTGTTGCTTCAAATATTATCTCCTTGGAGGATCCCGCATCTGATTCATTTCAATTCCTAGGGGTTGGGATTCTCTGAGAGTTCCAAGCTTTTCAACCTCCCTAGCAATCCGAACATCGGAAGGTCTGTAATACTCAACAAGAAACTTGATAGCGAATCTAGGAAGCAATGATGTCACAACAATGGCAAGCAAGCAGAACCAGAACATCCATGTCTTCGCCACTTGGAAAATTGCCCTGTCACAGCCATTCAAAAACGTTGAGACTTTCAATATCCAGGAAATATGATTAGAGAATGATATGTTGAGAGAAAGAACTTTACCAGTAACCAGGGAGTGTGGGTATAACATCGATCACAATGACACATATACAAGCTGCAACTATGGATCCCCATATGGCGGCGTGTGCGATCCAGTTCCATCTGATTACATCCATGGCCAAGTGAAGATTGACCACCACAACTGCAGCAATCGTCCATAGGTCTCCTAGGCTCGACGTGTCAATTGTACTTCCCCAATAAGCAAACATAGGAATGAAGAAGATGGCTGCACTTTGCCAGATTGTGTCAATCATTGTATACCAGAAGAGCGTAGTGGAATATCCCTCTGCCCTCTGGCCAACACCATAGAGCTGCGGATTATCGAGGAGAGTCCTCCTTCCGAGGTCTTTGTCAAGAATACCGATAATTATTGTAGGGAATGACGTGTATATAACTGAGTACAAGACACTGCTCCATTCTGTGATGGCGGTTGTCAAGGTGTAGCAAGTAAACAAAACGTACCTGCGTGAAAGTGGTGAGGGTTAGTCTGTGGTGATTGTTTTGAGACGGATTAGTACAAAAGCCAGTACGACGGTACTCACCAAAATAAAATAAGAACAAAAACTGCATTTCTATAGAAATTATATAGTATCATGTAACCCATCCTTTGGTAATTCCAGTGTCCATGGACGAGCAATAGCGGAACTAAGAATCTGAACTGTCCCATTGCGAAATCAGATGCCATCACAGCTTGGCGACCTTCTTGGCCGCTTATCCCTACCCCAACATCAGCCATTTGAATCATGGAGACATCATTGGCACCTGTCAAAAGCCAAAGCATGTGAGAAGATGAAGAAAAGACAAAGAACTGGCTTGCCCTTTAGACAGGATTGGATAGACTGATTTTTAGAAAGAAGGATCAGATAGACTGATTTTTAGAAAGAAGAGTCGACTCATTACCATCACCAATGGCAAGAGTCATGTCGGAAGTTCGGTTCTTTACGAGTGCAACGATTCCAGCTTTCTGGAAAGGAGCAACACGGCAGCAG